TTCCATGATGTAGGAGATTCTCCAAACCCAAATGTTCTTTATTCCCTGCAATGCACAGACAACAGAAGCCCTTTGCTGCTGGTTCATGGCATTTGGGGGTTTCAGGGAAGCTGTGCCTGGCTCAGGCTGTGATCCCAGTGCCAGGACACAGGGAGCCCATGGAGCCTCCCCTGCTGTTGGGATTGCTCCACTCTGCTCCTCCCCAGGGCCTCCCTTTGTGTCCTCCTGGCTCTGCCATCTCTGAAACTCTGGATGGCTCCAATCTCACACACAGCTCCTTCCCCTTCTTCCCACTCAGTGTCTGGCTGCTGCAGCATTTCCCAGCCATAAATTCCAGCTGTCTTCAGTCTATTAGTGCCTTTCTTCTTCTATTAGCAACTTCTTAATTAAAAACTTGTAGCCAGCAGGGCAATACCAAGCAGGTCGACTGATGGGCTGAGGGGAAGGAGAAGCCCACAGCCAGTGCTTAGGTGGAGAATTACTGGATTTCAGTCCAAAACTTATGTAGAATTTATGTCAGGATGGATTGCAGCATCATTAGGACACGTGCATAGGGAATTAATCAACTTTCTGGAGGCCAGAGAGAATAAAAATCCCTTTTATCTTCAGAAAGCTGCAGTTCCTGAGGAGGTCAATGTTCCCAGCCACAGTGGGTGGAAAGGCTGCCCCTGGAGCAAACCCCACCCCGGGGTGGAAGTCTGTGGTCAGCACTGCAAAGCAGGAAGGTGAACAGAGAAAAATTGTGGATTTCTGGATTTAATCAGCTTCAGATAACTTTCCGTTTGGTTTTGGTTGGTTTTCTTAAAAAAATAAGAATGTTGGCACTTAAGAGCTGCTGCTTCCAGCTCTTGTCTGCCATTTATCACTGTGGCTTTGCCTGGAGCACTGTGAGAACATTCCAGCACCTTGCAGTGACCCTCAGGGCTGTGTCTGCTCTAGGAAACCTCAAAGCCGTGAATTTCAGCCCGGGGCAGGTGGGGGTCACTCCTGAATGATTTCTGTGGCCCCTTGTGGAACGGGACATCCCAGCACACCTGGAACCTGCAGGCACCCGAGGATTTGGGGGATGGTTTGGATTGTTTGGACTGTTTGGGTTGTTTGGGTTGCAGCTCACCTGGTGTCGGTGCTCAGAGCCGGCTGCTCCCGAACACCAGGGTGCTGTCCTGCACCACGGCCTTGTCCCCGTAGCTGCCCCTCGCTGACTCCGCGGCCACCGGGCACAGCT